TATAATTGTATTGATGTCCTTCTGAAGGTGGTCTATAAGACCGAAACATGTCAAGGATAAAAGATTTAAAAAAAAAAAACATTTTATCAGTCACTGGACGGTGTTAATTAACCTTTAACTGATATTTATAATTGTTAAACTCCAGTGTATATTTATTGAAAAAAATGAACTTAATGCAGACAGTTGTATGAATGTTTTATTTCATAATGCTGTACTCCTAAATGTTGACATTAATAAAGTAACTGTAAATAAAAGTGAATCCTTCATACTTGAAACCGTCAGTTGTTTAGCCACTTCATATCAACTCCCTTGTACTGCGGCCACTTCTGGCCTATTGTACCAGTCCCAGATGATAGGTGAGGGTGATTGTGGAGCAGTCGGTGGAATAAAGATTGGCAGGTGAAACCGAAGTACTCGGAGAAAACCTGCCCCATCACCACTTTGTCCACCACAAATCCCACTTGACCAGAGCCGAGATCGAACCCGGGCCGCCGCGGTGGGAAGCCAGCGACTAACCGCTTGAGCGATGGCACGGCCCTCGTATCTAGTTAGTTGCTTCTATATTATGCTAATTTTTGTACATTGGTCCCATAGTGGAGACTGGGTTTACGCTATATTTATTAAATTTCCTGCTTCCGTTATCGCTGCTAGTTATGCTATAACTGGCAAAGAATACTTCACTTTCAAACCGTCACGCATGTGGACGTCCGCAGTAGCAGATGCACTCTGATCACGCAGGTTCATGTGAACGTGTTTATGTTGCTAGTATAGCATAGCGTTGCAGGCAGTGTGAACGTACGCTTGGGTTTTGTACTACTACCAGGCGTGGCCCGCTGTCCGTTATGCGGGGCAGTCGACCGACACGCAGCGGCATCGATCGTAGACAGTACGGAATTGCATCTCGTTTGAGGGCCGGAGGTCGATTACCCTATGTTGGTGTTATTCACCAGTATCATTGAGGCCAATGGAACTTCCTTTTTGTATGTGACCGTGTTTATAAATATCACATAGACCTATAAAGAGCCTCTGCTTCGGCGAAGAGTCTTGAGTGCCCTAAGCGTAGATAGAAGAATGTTGAAACAGACCTCCATCCTTTGAGGTTCTCATATTGTGGTAAATGATACAGCGCCATTTGTAAATGATTTTGAATCCGATACTGGATTAGAATGTGAGTTTATAAACATATATCTAGGCCCATCAGAGGTCATGATTTTGCGGTCCACTTATTTGATCACATAACCACTGGCACCAGTTTCAGCTTATTGCTTCTGATTTATGGTAATCGGGATTGCAGGTTTCAGTCCTTGGGCTGCACTGTGATTTCCTTCTGTGACCTGAAAGTGTCCAAGAAATAGAGCGCAGACTGGAGTTAATTGATCCATGATAGGGGTCAGTAATTGCGTGTTGTGAACACGACGATTGACCTCGGGGTTGCATAACATTCGGGGGCTTTCTTGAGACCGACTGACATGTCTCAAGGACTGCACCACGGAGTAGGTTATATACTGCAGTTTCTTTCAGTGATTTGGAAACGCTGTGCTCGATTCCATCGCTCCGGTTCCTGTGGTGTACACAGCCGTTGAACATGGAATTGAAACCTCCCAGTCCTTTTCAGAATTGCTGTTCATTGATAGTTTTTCAGAATACTGGAACTGCTCTCTCTAGAAGAACACGAATTCCTCCTTATCCTAGAATTAGGCCTAGCCTGCTGCAGTCTCACATGGACAGATCACTTGAACTTCGATGTTTGTTAAGAAGAATTGACAGATGTGTTCTGACGTATTTTTTAATTCGTTCTTTGTTATTTGCGTATGCCATTCTTTTTTATGTTTGATGATACATTGGTGGTAAGTTAAGCACTAAGAAAGTATATTGCGTTTTATTTAGTTGTTCAGTATTTACCACATCGAAAGATATGGGGGCACACGGTAGCTCAGTTGGTTGAGGCACTATGCTAGAAGACGGAAAGTCAGGGGTTCGATTCCTGATGATGACATTGAATTTTTAAATTGAGCTAATCCTTCCACCCGCGCTATGGCCCTGTGGGCGACTCAGCCTCTAACAGGAATGAGTACCAGGAAACTTCCTGGGGGCAAAGGGCGGCCGGCTCGTAAGTCTGACAACTTCACCACCATCTGTAAGCCGATTGTCTAGAAAATGTGGGAGCCTTGACGTCTCACAATCCTATTGGCCTCCACGGCCTGTTACAGGGATCGCTTTATCGAAAGATGAGAGATTTGAGGTTTCCATGGCGGGGAGTACAATTTCCGCTTTATGGAATGTGAGGTCGTGTGAATGTGGTGTGTACGTAGCGCCTTACTCTTAAGCTGGACACAGCAGGTTCCCCAGAAGCGGCTGTACTTATATACCGGAGGACACTGCGTCACATCCCAGAAAACAAACTTTACCGTCTAAAAGTGAAATGAAAGTTGAAGGTATTAAGACCTACACGAGTATATTTTATACTGTATGAGGCATGAAAAACCCGACGGAGCTTGATTTGAACTTTCTTATAAATTAGGGGTTATACTGCTAGACGGAAATGAAGCAAAATCAAATTCGCCCCACTTTGGTGTTCACCCCTCCCCACTATAAAATTTAAACTGATGAAGATTCATTGAGTACTTCCGGGAGGCATACGAATAGACAAGCGGGCGGAGGCGGTCTTGCCGTTGTGCGTTCATATGTGCAAAAAAAAAACATTAACATGACTGGAGCATTTTCGGCACGGTTTTCTAGCATTGTGTGTGTGTGCATTTGTTATGAGTGCATTCCACATTGTTAATATAAATAGGGAGTTGTGTGATACAGTTTGCTCATAGATATAAAAAGTTTCCGGAAGCATGAGCCTTCCTGTGCTGCCTAGATGTTCATCAGTGGAACATTACGTATACTGACGTCATACCCAGCTACCTCAGGACGAATCTGTTTGCCGCGTTCTCAGCTGCCTCAGGGTTAACTGTATTGATCTCGTGTACCATAGGATTAACCTGTTAGCCGCTAAAATGTCTACCTAAGTACCGGCATATTGGCTTCGTTTGTACGTGCCATTGGACTAGCTTGTTGGCTTTGTACATACCTGGCCACAGGACTAGTTTGTTGGCTTTGCTCATACCTGCCGCTTCGTACAGAACTGTTACAGGACTGTAGCCCCCATATTTGTTCAGTTTGGGACCTTAGAAGCACAGGCGGAAGCTGATCGTGATCTCTCAATGTGAATTTGTCAGCAATCTAGCTGTTGCATTTGGAGAGTGGCTATTGATTTCGGTCGGTGCCTTGATTAACCAGATTTATTTCTGCTAATTTATATACCAGGTGTATTTATATTGAGGGCCCCCGCGTATCCACAATCTAATCTTAACACTGTAACATTCAATAAAAAGCTATCCCTATAACAGGCCGTGAAGTCCCATAGTGTTGTGAGACGTCGAGGCTCCCACATTCTCTGGACAGTCAACATACAGCGGTGAGGTTATCAGCCCCACGTGCCGGCCGTCCTTTACCCCTAGGGAGATTGCTAGTGCTTGTTTCTGTTAGAGGCTGAGTGAACCCTAGGGCCATAGTGCGGCTGGAAGGATTAGGTGAATTAAAAAATCCGGTGACCTCATCGGGAATCGAACCCGCGATCTTCCGGCTTGTAACTTTAGTGCATCAACCAAGTACACTACCGCGTGCCCCCCCTAATTTTCAATACTGGGAAAAATGTAGGTTTTAGGAACTCTTAAAAATAATCATTTTTATGAACGTGACTTCGGATGACAGTCCCGCGTACCGATAAAATTATAGTACCTCTTGCAGGGAGTGCGTGCATTGGTCTGTAGCCGCAGTATGTTACCATGGTCTCACGCAGCCTCGTCATGATTTTATTATACGCCGCCAAATGTAAAGTCTATCGTGTGATTTTTCCTCTCCCCCTTCCCCGTGCTACAGTGACTTTGCTTCGGACTTGGGTGTTATAATATAGGGATGGACAAGAAACTTGTCCGTAATTTACAGTGATATACCAGCAGCAAGGCGATAGTGTTAAAATGAAATTTGTACTATAACTATGTTGAAAACATGATTGGGGGTTTGTCATCGCCAGGTAGTGACGTACACAATCACGTGGTCATCAGAAATGTCCATGTTCTTTTTTTTAAATGCGTTGGGATCCAGAACCGCAGTACTGGAGATATATTTCTTTCGTAAGGTTGCTTGATCCGGTATGACGTATTCTCACGTTTTACGGAAAATAGCCACAGCATAAAGTGCATTCCTGCAGGACAAGTAACCTTGTACTTTGTTAATGCATATAAACTACTCATTTCCTTCTCACTCACGTACTTGTGTGCATTTTCACATGCCCTAAAACATTGTTGTTCTGTGCTTAACGCAATTGTTTTATATTTGGGTAGTTCTGTGTTCAGGTTGGCATTCTGAGGAGGTATCTGATTGTCTTTGTACCTCTTACCTATTGGCCACTGCTTCCTACCTCACCCTTCCCAGTTTGGTACTTAAGTATTACTCATAATATCCCATTTGACGCCATATAACCAGTACAGTTGAGAAACTATCCGTAAATAAAACGAGAGACTACACGCACGCGCGCACAGATATACGAATTTGTAATAATTTCTTAAAGCCTTTGTGCAGAACCGAGTAATTAGAGTTAAGATTATATGTGTGAAGGGGATGTCTTTGTACAACCCTGTTGATTTGCCTTGGCCATGGCGTCACGCTCTGCAGGGCCCAAAGGATGCTAAGGTGATTCAAAGTCGTGACTGGTGTCTGTGAACTCGGTACAGTCTGGCGGGTAGTTAATTGCCTTATTGTGCTTCTTCCAAAGATTTCAAGCGGGGCCATTGTTACAGTGGCTCAGATTTCTACACAACAGTATATTCTTAAGTTAGATTCCATTATTATTATTATTATTATTATTATTATTATTATTATTATAATGGCTAAAGTAAGTAATTTCTGTGATTGGAATGTCAGACATTTAAATTTTTTTTTTTTCGTAGGGCTTGACCCAACGTCGTCACCATGACGACGGACATATCACTGGTCCGATGGGACCCGACGTTGCAACAGGAGATAGTGGAGGACTATGAATATGATGGTGGTAACTCTTCATCTCGCCTCTTCGAACGATCCCGCATTAAGGCTTTAGCTGGTAAGTGCATCTTGTTCGAATACCGTATTTACGCATGTATAGGCCGCACATTTTTTGCCAAAAATTCAAGAGGAAAACTGGGGTGCGGCTTATATTCGAAATATTCGAAATCACACTTCATTTAAAAAAAATTATATTCATAATTATTAATACAGGGTGTAATACTCCTGAAATAATATTCCAAGAAAATTATTTTTTCTATAATTTCTGTCTGAAAATTGTGCTGCGCCTATACACGCACGCGGCCTAGACATGCGTAAATACGGTATATTGTATATTTTGCATTGTAGTGCCTACAGACTTGAGTCCCTGCTTTCTTATTTGATCAGGCCGCAAGTTAAGGAAACAGTGATACACAAGCAGAAGCACCTGTTCTTTGCTCAGGATATGGTTCCTTTCCTCTTCAATATTAGTACATAGCAGCAGGAACTTTAAACATAAAAAAATGAAATACACGTATTTCTACTTTCAAATGGGGAAATAATAATAATAATAATATGCCATATGTCCTACATGAGTAGGTGCATTACCTCCATCAGGGGAAAAGTAACAACAAAGGTTCATGAGTTCACATCAATTTTTGGAAGTGTAAAACTTAATATAAACTTCTGGTATCAGAATGCATTCACATTTCTTCTAAAATGATAATATGTAATATGTTTGGATGCTCTCTCTGCAGAGGAAACAGCAGAATTACATGCATGCTTTCCTTGTTACTGCCACTGTACATAGTAGTTAAAACTAAGGAAGTAACACTCAAATTTAGAAATTATTTTATACTCATATTATTAAAATAAATTTGGAACAAGAATTTGAACCTCGTATAGTACAGTAGTGGCACTTTGCTCCAACAGTTGTGGCTACCATACAAAGTAAATGTCGTATTATCCTTAGGTGTCCTTTGTGACGTCCGTGAACTTTGGATCGTTGAAATTGAACATATAAATAAGGCAGAACCTTAAGCCACGAAACATTAATTGAACTTCTTACTGGCATGAAGTAACAGGTCATCCCTCAAAAGAGCCTAATGTCAGACCTTGGTCTGTGACAAGACCTGTTCACATGTTTATATGGTCTGTTTACTACTTAGTCAGGAGCGATTATAATATTCTTAAGTGTATTAGGAATGAGGTTGGTTTTTCCCATAGTAGGTTTTGTTTTTGTGCTTTCTCTTTACATTTTTGTCATAAGCAGTGGTAAAAGTCACCATAGTTACAGAAAATCACCACTGCAAGATTAATGCAGCACCTGTCTTTGCATAGCTTTTTAAAAAAATAAGCTAAATTGGAATAAGAAATTGCTCATTTCATGTTTCGCGATCCTAATAAGCTTCATAAACAAAGTAATCAATAAATACGCTCTTAACTGATGCATGAAAATTAGTGCACTGCAAGAAACGGATGCTGAATGCTTTAGTTTCATTAAATTAATGTTTTGTTTTTCAACACTGTGTGTACAAGAGAGGCACTTGCAAGTCATTTTTCACTCAGGCTGTTTGTGGAAGTTTAAAAAACAATGTTTAGCCTACAGCGTGAGAATGTGGC